AAAATCATAAAAATAAAATATTCAGAATAAGTAGTACGTAAAAAAAATATTAAATCTTTAGTATTTATACAACAAAAGCTGATAAACGTTTTATTTAATTTTATCCTCCTGTGTCAACCCTAGCAAAATAGGTTTAAAATTTTGACAGCTCCTTAGAAGCTTTGCCTCTGTATGGTTTCTTTACTAATGTGCTTTCTGGGAACTTTTTATTTCGCTCGCAATTTTGAACGCGTTACTTACCGCTGTGAGGAGTATTTTTGACTAAAATTTCATATACATAAGTATTGAGTCCTCCTCGAGTGCTACAATACGACCAAAATACACCAACTAAATTGTTTTTTTTTGTCCCATACTAGCCAAATATCAGCAAAAGTGGATGATTGTTATGAAGAAAGCAGATTATATTGGATCTACCGCATTCTGTTGTGAGGATTATTTTATGTTAGAAAATGTTATGTTATTGTCATTGTGTATTTGAGAAATCACAAAAATCATGATTTCAATATATTACACATTAGGTACTCTTGTCGAGCTTAGTTTCACATTTGGTGTCCCACTGCCATCGTCGCGTATTGGTCCATATGAGTGCATTCTTAAATAAATAAGGGAAATAATATGGGTTACCTATCTAAATTTTATATATTTTATCATAATCGATTTCAACAGGTAGTGGGCCGCATTATTTGCAACATATTCATAATTTTAAAGAATTTGTGTGAAATGCTATATTTAGAACCTGAACAACTATTTTGAATAAACACGTCCATGTTCATCATATGACCTATTCGTTGGGATAAAATATGGTTCATACAATAACAAATCTACCCAGAATCGTTTTCGCTCATAAAATAAATTCATTTTTGTTTTCAATTTGAAAACGATATGGTATGTCTATGTCAAGTATAAGAGAGTACGAGGACTGCTGAAACTTAAAATGGGCGGCGGTAATCACTTACCATCAGGTATGCTCGTTTGCCCCTCTTCTATAAAAAAAGGTGTACCACCTCACAAGTATACTTGTCACAAACAGTTATTTGAAAATTTGTACGGTACAAAACCCTAAAAAAGCACAAATTGTTAAGAAAATTCTGAGCAAAGATGTAAGTGGAGATGTAGGGTCTACTTCACACAAGTTTAGTTCTTACTAAAGTTTTCGACTAGTGCGCCCCTTGGATAGCGCTGTTGTAACAGCTCTGATATGGATACTACAATTCTTACAAACTTTTTGCATTACATAGAAATAAAAAATGGAAAAACTAACGTTTTCGACCTATGTGTACATAGATGAATGGCTGAGCAGTGAAAAATACGAGAGATGACGTCATAACATGAGTGCGCGTAATCTCAGGAATTTTAAAAATCACTCCGATCACTCCGAACGTCGTAACTAACTTCGGTGGTATTACCACAAGAATATAAAAACCAAGCAGAATAAAATCTTCCTCAAAAACCTCAAAATTCTTACCAACTTTCATAGGACTGTCACTCGGTTATTTAAAACAAAAAAGCGGGCAAGTGCGAGTCGGGATTCAGCAATGTGCACGGATGGATGGACAGACGGACAGGCCCTGTGACTGAGGTGATCCCATAAGTTTTCCGTTTTCCAATTTTGCTACGGAATATTAAAAATGGTAGAGGTAGCTTTAAAAGACAAGATGGTTATTATTATGTTATTAGCAGTTTGTTTAAAAAGAAAAACTCATACGGAATCTTACTAAGATGGCATACAAACACACTTTGGTACCTACTAAAACAAAAAATAAGTCACATAAGTATATTTAAGTAATATTAAGAATATTAAATAATAATTATGGGAAAACCTTATCGTCATCTAAATTATTTTAGATATGCCTTGTAACTAAACGCTTCTGTAATTTATGCATGAAAATGTTTTGGTAAGTATAGGTAGATAAAGATACGTAGTTACCTGACAAGATCTTTTTTATATACAAAAAAAAAGAAATTTCCTTGGTTTTTCTACCATTATTTGTACATATAGTACAAAAGTTTGGCATCTTTACAAACAAAACTAAACGATCGTCGTGGTTCTGCCAGTGGCACTCCTTAACTTTATCCGCTTACTGACTGAACTCAAACCAGTTTGTACCCTAGCAGGCGCCGGCGCACGCCCCCGGCGCCTTGTCGGTGATAAGTTACGCACACATAGCTGTGCGTGTAGTAGTGTTCTCGCGCACGGCATTAATATGAAGCTTTCACTTTGCTCGGTTTTATATTCCTGTTATATTGACGTAAAACAAAACTTAGTGTGATGTACGTAAAATATTTTTTATTCGCGAGGGACTGTTTTGATTGTGATCCAATATTGTTATAAATATAAATAAAATATAATTGTGATAAATCATAAATATAACCTCATCAGTGCCCTTGTGGCAGCAGCATCGACCAATTTGGGCTCCACGGAATATCATCTAAGAAAAGTGCTGGTTACGGTTTTTTGAACGATGTCATCCTCTCTCATATCTTAGGTATTGCCTTGTTGAATATTTAGAGACGATGGCAAAAGACCCAACGGTATGACTTTGGCCCCTTAAGGGGGAGGTAACCACTAGTGTGTGATGCTACTTTAGTAGACACATAGTTTTCACCTGATGGTAAGTGGATGCTAAGGTCCATAGATAGATGATAAGGTCCATTCAAAATTCAGATGCGTTGTCACCCATGAGGACTACGATGGAATGCCGCGTTTCCAGTGAAAAGGGTCTCCGGATTTCTACACTCAGATTGTGAGAGCGTGGTCCTACCCCGTTCGAGCCGACCCATTCATGCTACAACCATAATAAAGCTACAACGTGGCTCTACCACGTGGAATTTTTTACTTACCAATAAATACTATGATATAATTTTATTCTTTTAATTACCTATAAATACTTACCGAAAAATGTCTTTTGTTTATTGATTTATTACTTTTACTGAACATAGTATAGAATTAATAATAATAATAATAATAAGATCCTGTGGCGTCATTAATCTGAAAAAGAAAAATAAACAATCAAAAATTAATAATCTGTGACGATTAGACGTATGACGCTCGCGCCCGGCTTTTGTTTGGTTTTTGCGATTTGTTTTGAATTTTTGCTCCCTTCTCATGCTAATAACTTCTGTGCTATGCTTTGTGCTAAATTATAAACAGTATTTTATATGTGAACTATTCTATTTGTGAACAATTGTATCCGTGAATTATTGTAGCTGTGAACTATAGCATATATGAAATATTTAATTGTGTGAACTCTTCTGCTTATAATAAACTTTTATAAAAAGTGATTGGTGAGTAATTTATTAAGAATCTCCCCACATCACTTCACTGGTGACTCTGCTTGGACTTTGTACTGCGAGAACCCAAACGTAAGCAGAATCCAAAGTAATATTTAAATAACAATATTCTAAATAAGATGGCAGAGAAACAAGCTAAACCCTCCCAATCATTATCACGGGAAACACGTAACGAAGCAGGGTCATTTACACCATCTGATATATGTCGTGTCGGTGTCAGACTGCCCCCGTTTTGGGCTGAAGAGCCTGCTGTGTGGTTCGCACAAGTAGAAGGGAATTTTGCACTATCCGGTATTAAAGAAGACGAAACAAAATATTATTATGTAATTGATAGATTGATTAGACCATTGATATGCAGATTGATTAGACCATAGATATGCAGCAGAAGTCAAAGACATTATAGTTTCTCCACCTCAAAAAGATAAATACGAGAAACTTAAAACAGAACTTATCAAGAGGCTCTCAGCATCTCGAGAAAAAGAAGTGAAGCAATTGTTAATGCATGAGGAACTTGTAAATAGGCGTCCGTCACAATTTTTACGACATTTGCAACATTTAGCGGGCCCTAACGTCCTAGATGTCTTTATCAGGACAATATGGACTAGTCGCCCCTAAAATAATTTGCAAACTATAATTGCATCACAGCCTGACTCAACTTTGGAAGCACTGGCTGCCTTAGCCGATAAGGTGCACGAACTTGTTCCGGCATCTCCACACGTAGCTTCAATGGATGCAGCACAAGGATCTCTACTTGACACAATGTCGAAACAGATCGCGGAACTTACTCGTCAAGTGCAAGCATTATCCTTCCGAAATGAAAGGAAATCACGGTCGCAAAATAGAGACAACAAACGAGACCGCAACCATAGTCACAGTCATACTCGTAATCGGTCTCAGTCAAATTATAGAAGGTTTCCATTTTGCTACTATTATTATAAATTCGGCGATAAGGCTAATAAGTGCGTTAAGCCTTGTGATTACCAACAGGGAAACGATCAGGGTAGTCGTTAGTGGCGACAAATGATTGCCTCAGTTCATCCGGTCGCCTGTTTGTCACGGATCGCAGAACGAAGATGCAATTCTTGGTCGACACTGGAAGCGACCTTTGTGTCTTCCCGCGTACGGCACTTAAACAACGACGACCTCGAACATCTTACGAACTTTTTGCAGCAAATGTAACTCCCATACCCACCTACGGCTATGCTCATCTCGAACTAAATCTGGGACTTCGACGAGATTTTTCATGGCACTTTGTAGTAGCCGATGTAAACAAAGCAATCATCGGAATTGATTTTTTATCATTCTAACATATTGTTGGCGACTGTCGTAACCGTCGGTTAATAGATAATAGTACTTCGTTGCAAACACCTGCTGAGCCTGCTACAGCTAATGTGATAGCTTCTGTTAAATTTATGAGAGGTAATTCAAAGTATGTTGAATTACTACGTGACTTTCCGGAGATTACCCGACCGTCAGGTGTACCGCAAGCTCCTAAGCACAGTACCGTCCACTTCATTCGTACTAAGCCAGGACCACCTGTGTCTTGCAATCCGAGAAGATTATCACCAGAAAAATTGAAAATAGCGAAACAAGAATTCGAGGCAATGATAAAGAGTGGAATAGCACGTCCATCTGAGAGCCCGTGGTCTTCTCCGCTCCATCTTGTACCAAAGAAAGATAACGGATGACGGCCATGTGGCGATTACAGAATGTTAAACGCACAGACAATTCCAGATAAATATCCCATCAGGTACTTACAAGACTTCACCCATTACATATCGGGTTGTACAATTTTTTCTACGCTAGACTTGGTGAAAGCGTACAATCAGATACCAGTCAACCCAGATGATATTCCGAAGACAGCCATCACCACACCATTTGGTATGTTCGAATTTCCATACATGAATTATGGCTTAAAAAATGCGAGCCAAACCTTTCAAAGGTTTGTAGACGAGATAACACGAGGACTTGATTTTTGCTTCGTGTACCTGGATGATTTTCTAATATTTTCCCAGGACGAAGACAGCCATCTTGATCACACACATCAAATCTTTGAAAAACTTAAGGAATTCGGTATGGTTATCAACACGAGCAAATGTGAATTTGGTAAGAAAGAAATCACCTTTCTAGGGTATCACGTCCCAGCCAACGGTGTTAAGCCTTTAGACAGTAAGGTTCAAGCCATCAAAGACTTCCCCACTCCGAAAACCGTACGAGAACTTCGGCGTTTTCTAGGGATGCTAAACTTTTATCGCCGATTTATCAAAGGAGCTGCTGAAATTCAGGCACCATTAAACTCTTTGCTGACGGGGTCCATAAAAGGATCACGTTCCGTGGATATATCGGGAGAAGCCCTATATGCTTTTGAGCAGTGCAAAACTAGCCTCTGTCAAGCAGCATTCTTGGCACATCCAGATCTAAACGCAAGATTAGGTTTGGTAACCGACGCCTCAGATAAGGCAATCGGTGCCACCTTGCAGCAAGTAAAGAATGGATCATGGCAGCCACTTGCATTCTTCTCTAAGAAACTGAAACCAGCCCAACAGAAATACTCGCCATACGACAGGGAGCTTCTTGCTATATACAAGTCAGTGAAATACTTTAGACACATGCTTGAAGCAAGACATTTTACTGTTTTTACTGATTTGTGATGCATGCATGATTTGTGATGATCTGTTATGCATTTCACATCAGAAAAGATAAGTGCTCACCCCGCCAGTATCGTCATCTCGATTTTATATCACAGTTCACCACCGACATCCAACACATCTCTGGAAAAGATAACATAGTGGCTGATACGCTTTCAAGAGTGGAAGAATTAGCTCAGCCTGTTAATCTAGTTACCTTAGCCAAAATGCAGGACGTGGATACGGAACTGAAAGAAATTCTGAAAGGTGGGACATCACTTCGATTAGTTAAGGTACCAATACCTGGCACGAAGACAGACCTATATTGTGATGATGGAACTGGAAATCATAGGCCTTACGTACCTCAAAACTTAAGGAAGCAAGTCTTTGACAGTTTACATTCGCTGAGCCATCCTGGGGTCAAAGCTACAACAAAGTTGATAACAGAACGCTACGTTTGGCCAGGAGTAAAGAGAGACTGTCGTGAATGGTCGAAAACGTGTCACCCCTGCCAGCGTGCAAAAATAACACGTCATGTCTCCGCACCTTTAGGCACGTACAAATTACCACCTGCCAGATTCCAATACGTCCATTTAGACATCATTGTACCTTTACCTGTATCAGATGGATATCGCTATTGTTTTACAGCAGTTGATAGATTTACCAGATGGCCTGAGACAATACCCTTATCAGATATCACTGCTGAAACTGTTGCAAAAGCAGTTCTTAATGGCTGGATCTCGTGTTTTGGGTGTCCTGCTGAAATCATCACAGATCGAGGAAGACAATTCGAATGTTCCTTATTTAAACATCTATCCAATCTAATCGGATTTCAGCATAAGCGAACTACATCTTACCACCCAGCGTGCAACGGTATGGTAGAAAGGATGCACAGACATCTAAAAGCCGCTATTGTATGTCACAATAATCAACGATAGACAGAATCATTGCCATTTGTATTACTGGGTATGAGAAATGCATTGAAACAAGACCTTCAAGCATCACCCGCTGAGTTACTTTATGGTGAATCACTTAGGTTACCAGGAGAATTTCTGCATTCTAACAACAGCGAAAGTAGCACAGACATAACGGATTTCTTATCACGCTTAAGGCTGATAATGAACAATATTCCTCCATCACCTGGAACACGTCACGGTAGTAAAAAGTATTTATCTTTAAAGACTTACCAAATGCGACTCACGTTTATGTCAGGGATGACTCTGCAACTGCACTGCAACCAGCGTACTCCGGTCCCTTCAAAGTGCTGGAAAGAGGAGACAAGATTTACAAATTACTCATGAAAGGCAAAGAACAAACGGTCTCAATAGATAGAATAAAACCTGCCTATATACCCTCTGACGCTTCAGCATGTTGAACACCACCTGCAAACAAAAAAGAAGAGCTCAGGACGCAGAGTTAAATTACCTGATTATTATCGCCCATCATAGATGGTCTCTGGGGGGGAGTGATGTGGCGTCATTAATCTGAAAAAGAAAAATAAACAATCAAATATTAATAATCTGTGACGATTAGACGTATGACGCTTGCGCCCGGCTTTTGTTTGGTTTTTGCGATTTGTTTTGAATTTTTGCTCCCTTCTCATGCTAATAACTTCTGTGCTATGCTTTATGCTAAATTATAAACAGTATTTTATATGTCAACTATTCTATTTGTGAACAATTGTATCCGTGAATTATTGTAGCTGTGAACTATAGCATATATGAAATATTTAATTGTGTGAACTCTTCTGCTTATAATAAACTTTTATAAAAAGTGATTGGTGAGTAATTTATTAAGAATCTCCCCACATCACTTCAATCCCAATATTAACCTACTCGTTTGGAGTGATTAAATGGTCTAAAACTGACATCCAGCAAATAGAAAGAAACACACGCACCACACTTACAAAACACAATAATCTACACCCTAAATCCGCAATAGAAAGACTCACAATAAAACGACAAAATGGAGGGAGAGGCCTAATAAACATTCATCACCTTTGGCAGAAACAAATTAGTAGCCTCAAAACATTCTTTCACAATAAATCTCGCACTAGTTACATCCATAAAGCCGTAGTCCTATATGATTTTAACTACACTCCACTTAACCTAAATGAACAAACAGATACACAACATAATAACACTAATGACCCACAAAAACAAAAGTTAGAGAACTGGAAAAAGAAAGTCATACACGGACGACACCCATATGACCTGGAACAACCACATGTAGATACAGTAGCATCAAATAAATGACTTAAAATTGGCAACCTATTCCCGAAACTGAAAGGTTTATCATCGCTATATAAGACCAGATCATCAACACTAAAAACTACAGGAAATATGTCATTAAAGACCCCACAGTAACCAACGATAAATGCCGCAAGTGCTTCACCCAACCAGAGACAATACAACACATAACAGGGGCATGTACAACTCTCACACAGACAGACTACACTCACAGACACAACCAAGTAGAAAACATCATTCATCAAAAACTAGCACTCAAACATAAACTTATACAAGACACAAACACACCCTACTACAAATATACACCACAAAATGTTTTAGAAAATCCTACACACAAACTTAACTACGACCACGCCATACTTACCGATAGGACCATTCACTATAATACACCAGATATAACACTACACGATAAAGTAAGTAAAATCACCTACCTAATAAATATTGCAATACCCAACACACATAACGTACAAAAAACAATAAGCGAGAAGATAAGCAAATATGCAGAGCTTAAAAAAGAAGTGATCAGAATTTGGAGACAAAGTAAAGTTTATATAGTACCCATAGTCGTCTCCACCACGGGCGTCATACCCAACCATCTCCACCATAGCCTCAAATTAATAGACCTGAAAGACTCAACATACATTATACTCCAAAAATCTGCAATTATAAATACCTGTCGAATTGTAAGAAAATTCATGCAATTGGAAGAAAATAAAAAAGCTACCCAGAACACACCACCTACATAAATACTCACTCCACGCTGCATTTACTTGGCTTCGGCCCGTATGTGCAGTAAAAACTAGCCAAAGAGCTAAGAAACAGAAATGTTTTCCCTATAATAATAATAATAAGTCGACATTACCATTCCTTATGACGAGAACCTCGTGAAAGCCGAAACAGATAAGCTGACAAAATATCTGGACCTGGCTCACGAGGTAACCGACATGTGGGGTTTGACCATTTGGTATCTGTAATTTACATAGGTCATTTATGTAGACAAGAAAGAGGATAGGACCTACAATACTTCCCTGCGGTACACCATAGGTAACAGGTAAATCCTTACTTATAATATTTCCTATCTTTATACGTTGAGTGCGGTTTGTTAAATAGTCAGTAAAGAGTTTTAGTTGTGTACCCCTAACTCCAACCTTTTCAAGTTTCTTAATCAGAACTGAGATAGAGACCGTGCCGAATGCCTTGGCTAGATCTAGGAAAATTGCCATACACTTTTTGTTATTGTCAAGTTCTTTGAAAATATAGTTTGTAAGATCATGGACCGCATCTGTTGTTGATAAACCAGATCTAAATCCGAACTGTGTCTTGAAAAAAAAATTATTTTCAAGAAAACAGGTTAACCGCTTATTCATGATCTTTTCAAAAATCTTAGACATTGAAGGTAAAATAGATACTGGTCGATAATTATTTACGTGGTCTCTAGCTCCATTCTTATAAATAGGTAGGATAACAGATTTCGTAAAAGCAGAAGGAAATATGCCATTTGTTATGGCTAAATTACAGACATGTGTTAAAGGAAGAGAATTATTAATAACAACCAGTAAAAACTGATGAACTTCACAGTTTTCATCAATTTTACCAAATCATAAGGTAACTATAAATAATAACCGGTAGTTATTAATACTAACCACACTACTTACCTTTACAGTAATATATCTCCGAATTTGTGGTAGCGATACTTACAACTATAAGAAAAAAATTTTAGCTATTGCTTTTTTTATCTTTTCTGATACAAAGAAAATCGAGACGTATAATTATTATCTGTAGATTCTGCGTAAAAAATATTTTATACCTATAACAACAAAATTAATATTTGGGTTTCGGAGTATTTCTTTTTTTTTTGTTAGATTTGCTTTATTAGTGTTTTCCACGCATACGAAGTTGCAATTATTGTATGATATAGTTTACGAGTATATATTCCTTTTACAAATTCATTTATCATTTTTAGTACTTTTTTATTTTTGGGATGCATAAATATTCATTTGGTAAATAATAAATACGTACAGAAAAATATAAATCTTTTACCTAGAGGCTGCAAAAAAGTATCTATTGCCCTATTTTCTCTCGTAGGTGCTGCAAAAGGCTGTAAACAGAATGATAGAAAAATGGTAAGGCCTCCCATTGATGGTTGTTTTGTTTGCCGGTGGTGCTGCAGCCCCTTCACTGGTGCCGAGTTGACTGTAAGTATATCGAAGTGCTGAAGTGTTTGTACAGTAGGGCTACGATGGCTATCGGAGTAGAGAATCAGAGTGCGAAACCTATCCAACTGCAGAGAGGTGTAAGACAGGGTGACGTTATATCCCCGAAACTATTCACCGCTGCATTGGAAGACGTTTTCAAGCTACTGGACTGGAAAGAACGCGATATTAACATCAATGGCGAGTAAATCACTCACCTTCGAGTTGCTGACGATATAGTTCTTATGGCAGAATCGCTGGAGGACCTAAGCACTATGCTCAATGACTATATGTCTTCCAATGGATAGGCCTTAAAATGAACGTGGACAAAACAAAAATCATGTTTGACGTCCATGTCACACCTATGCCGGTAGTTGTTGGGAGCACTAAGCTCGAAATTGTCGACGAATATGTTTGCCTGGGACAAATAGTCCGACTAGGTAAGTCCAACTTCGACCGAGAGGTCAATCGACGGATTCAACTCGGCTGGGCAGCGTTCAGAAAACTACGACACATCTTCTCGTTAGACACACCTCAAAACCTGAAAACGAAATTGTACACAACCAGTGCGTGTTGCCAGTGATGACTTACGGATTTGAGACGTGGTCCTTCACTGCTGGCCATATGAGGAAGCTCAAGTTCGCTCAGTGAGCTATGGAGAAGGCTATGCTCGGGATTTCTCTGCGTGATAAACTCTGAAATGAGGATATCCGCAGTAGAACCAGAGTGACCAACATAGCCCAACGGATTAGTAAGCTGAAGTGGTAGTGGGCCAACCATATAGCTCGAAGAACCGACAACCGATGGGGAAGAAAGGTTCTCGAGTGGCAGCCTCGTACCGTAAGTTTAGGGCGATCCCTCACTAGATGGAGTGACGACCTAGTAAGACATGCAGGAAGTCGATGGATGCAGATGGCTCAGGACCGTGCTTTATGGCATTCCTTGGGGGAGGCCTATGTTCAGCAGTGGACTTATGAAGGGCTGTAATGATGATGATGAAGCTTGTGAACAAACTTATATGTTTAATCATGGCATGTTTAAAGTTATGTTTATAGTGGCTATGTTACTTAAAGTCAAAGTTACAGCCTATGTACATCCCACTGCACTCTTCTCGTTTAATGCAGACCTATAGAGTAAAAATTATGTCGAACTTATCTATTGTATGTTAGCGGATTCCTTGAAATATTTTCCTTGCCACTTTTCGCGTGGTAGAGCGACGCTGCAGCTGTATTATGGTTGTAGCAAGAATGGTTCGGCTCATCCGGGGAACGACTATGCTCTTACAGATTACCAGCGTAAAACTGCAGCTTAATACTGATGTGTTTCGTATGGTGATTGTGAAGAACCGGAGACCCTTTTTACTGGAAACGAGGCATTCCATCTTAGTCCTCAGGGCTGACAACACACCTGCATTTTGATCATTAATTGAGGACAAATGTGATGTCTATGAGCCCCAGCATCCTCTTTCCATCAGCTGGACTGTGTGCTCGTTTGTCA